ATATTTTTGAGATGAATTTGCATAAATAAACTGAAGTTAGAGGAAACTATTAAAGAGCAAATCTCTAAACCGTTGCCAGTGGCATTTGCTTTCGTTGGTGCTTCTCGAAGTACGTGGTTTTTTACTGTTTCGCCTAATACATAATCTTCGCTATTTTAGAAGAGGTCAGTGTACAATACACAATAAATTTCTCAAAATAAATATAAGATTCTTTATTGAAAGCATTTTGATTGATTTTAGAAATTATTCATTTCTGCTTTGATATTGTTTATATAAGGAAATAGTATCTGCATTAAGTTAGATGCCAGAACCTATATTCCTCCTAGGCATTTTTTATAAACAAGATTTTTAGAAAAAAAATAGTTGCATTGAGAAGAAATGAGCGTGTTTATGTGTGTATGTCAGTATAAAGTTTATTTCAGTGAAATAAATAAAGATTTTAAAAAGTAATTTGTTTCTAATTCTTAAATATTACTGTTAAGCATTAAAATTTTAGTAACCTGAAAAAGCAAGTTTTAATTAAATCTTTTACGATACAAGTATGGACTGTGAGGTCTTTCCACAATATTTTCTTTATATATTTCAACACATTCATTTTGAGATAAAATTATATAAATTCTTAAAATAGGTTAATGCAAGTGGAGTTAAGACACGGTCGAACTGATTATTTAATGTTTATTTATTAAATTTATAGTGTTAACTTAAAATATTCACCTGCGCACGGTGTAGGTCTGAACAAAACTACATACGGAATGTGTTGCTAACGCTGCTGTTTCTGTTATCAGATCGTCAGTGGTTTTATATATGAATAAGGTTGGAAACATTATAAATGCGGCTTTACTATAGCCGGTAAACAATAAGCACTTAATCGTGCTACTGCAATCGTGCTGAGTAACTTACAGTACAATCAGCATCTACAAATTATTATGTTATTTGCTCTAGAATTTTACAGTATTATTACTCATCAAAGTAATGGTTATACTGGGTAGCATAGAAACTTCAAGACCTTGGTAAGAGCCATCGATCATGTATGGCTTATGTAAAAGAGGAACAATACTGTTCATAAAGTTTCACTTAACACCCGCGATGAAAAATTATTACAATACAATGGTCAAATTTTACACCTATCGGGCATTCAACATACTCGTATTTATCCTAAATCACTATATGTCTGCACATAATTAATGTTACATAAAGATACTTTGGTCACCGATTATCGAAGTGGGAATAAAAATTTCAAGTTAAAGAAATAGGATTATTTCTAAGTATAATTTATAATAACTGTTTAAAATATTTTCAGTATTAAAATAAGTGTACTATTTAAAATTAAATAAATAAATTAAATAAAAAAAAGAAAACAATTTAATTCTACTTTTACTGTAGTTTGAGAATTGATTACCAAAACTTTGGATTAAAAACGATTGTTTATATTGCAATTATAGGAGATCGTATATAAAAAATCAGTATCTTTTAAAGAAATTTTTTTTTTCACCTAATTCTGCTTTAACTCAATACTTTTAGATCAAAGTTTTCGTCTTCCTCCTAAACCTCCAAGTAATAAAACTTGTAAATATACTCTGGTATACAATAGGAGCACTCAACAGTTATGCAAGAGGTTACTGACATACCGATGGATATTGACGATATCGTCCTAATTTTTCATATTTAAACATAAAAATCTATTTCCGCTGTCAAGATTGAAACTCATTAGCAAAATTCGAATTAACGGTCTATATAGTGTTTAAATTAAGGAACCGTTAAAAGTTAATCGCATCTATTATGCAGCTCATCTTTGAAGATAAAATTCAATATGGAATAACGATAATACTATTTTGGATGATACTGCAGTTGCCATCAATTTCCTTAGAAGCAAACCAGATATTGCATTTTTCCAGAAAAATTAATAGTATCAGATATCCTCATTGAAACGTCTAAACAAAAATAAATCGATTGTAAAAACTTAAAGTGACTGGCAGTACTAATGTCCCAAGTTTAACATGGAATAGTGACAACCTGCGCACGTCCGTTGTTATTGGTCATGATTTAATAGGTATGCACGCTGCTAGATTGATTTATTTTGTTCCAGAGGAAAGTTTTGTTCTTTGGAAGAGTTCTTATTTACGAAATTGATAAAGATAGGAACAGCTGATGTAGAAAAAGTTACAAGATTTATTATCAAAACTATTATAGCTAGATAATTTAATAAGAGTGGTTGATTATGATCGATCGAAAAAACTTTAATATATATATTTTACAACATTTCTAATAAAAATAAGGAATAGTAAATCTGAATAGGTAGTAATTAAAAATTCTGTCTTTATTCTTCTGGTAAAACATTCAATGATATTAAAATTGAATAAATATTTATGAAGTTTTTTAAATTAAGTATTGTTTTACATAAAAATAAAATAAGACATAAAAAAATTGTATTACTCTGGTGTATATATATATTTAATTTAAATATAAATTTAATATATTTAGTTTAATATATTTAATTAAATTCAAATATTCCATTTGTGCTCATTTTATATACATATGCTTATTATATATATTGGCAGTAATTAAAAATTTATTGAATTTTTTATTAAACTTGTAAGACTTATATATATATCATTTGAATCTGTTTTAAACACTTGACATATGAAACTTGTTAATTAAATTATTATTTCTTGAATCTATAAATAAAATTAAAGTCGTAGGAATAAATAACACACAGTACTATCTCATAGTCCATTGTTGTTGCACTATAAATCTGTATTAATTACCAACTTGAGGTTATTGAATAAAGGAGTGAATTTTTATCAAAAGTAAGTAATTGACCTGCCAACGTCTAACATAATACTGTAAAGTTTAAATATATAGAGGCCAGTACAATTTACAAAATGGACAGCATATTATGTCATTCCGTACTTGACAGTCTATTTAAAGTTGCAGCGTATCGTGGCTGCAGACCACAATATATGTAACACTGAAGAATAAATGTATCGGATGCGTTAGAGTCGATTTAGTAAACTTATCTCTAAGTGTGTAAAATATCATGAACGAGTATGATTTTACAAATAATTTTTTTGAGAACGTATTAGGAATGACTAAAATCGGACAACAATATTCGATATATATAATCAGTTCAGTTCAGTTATCATATAAATTTAACAATCAAGTATTTTTTTCAAAAAAATAATAATGTACATTTCTAATAATAATGTATAATAATTCTATTTAATAATATTGGATATATCTATAATACAACACTGTGTGTGTTATTAATAGAGTTGTCTCTATTGTGCAAGTTGTCTCAAGGCAACGTGATCTTTAAAGCAGCAAAAAAATTTTAAAAAATAAAAGAAAATATATATTCAAATTTTAAAAAAGGAACGATAACTACCAATAAAAAACTATATACATTTTTTTCAACTAAAAATTTGAAACAATGCTCAAATTGGTTTTTTAAAAAACATTTCTAAAGGGCAAAAAAAAAAGTTGCTTCATGATAGTTATCAAGAAACAATAACTCATCACTGATCAGATCGCTTAACATTTAGATAAAGTTGTTATACAAATGAAGGATTCAATTAAATCATTTAATAGAAACAAGTGTTCATTTGTTATTATATTAAATGTGTGAACAAATTTTTAGTCTTTAATACTATTCGACAATTTCGAATATATTTAATGAACTTGATATCTGAGATTCTACTGTGTTCTATTTAATCTATTATGTTACTAAACTTAGCCTTTGTTTTTTTTTATTTTCTTGAACAAAGTCAGTTGCTTTAGAATATTTACGAGTATATATAGTAAGAAATCTTTTAGCATTAATAAATAAAATGGTAAATTTAATATGAAAGTCAGAAGTCCACTCAAATAAAATTTGAAGATAACGAATTGAAAGAATGATTGGAGACGAAAAATATATATATTATTTAAAGTACACCACAAGCGTAAACTTAAACGAAATATTTAAGCCAACAATATAGCCCTTCAACATACATACTGCTATACCTTTTAAAAATGATTTGAAAGCACAGATCAGAATATCATTTTTAAACCGACAATAGTGCAACAATTTAGAAACATGGGCACTGTTCTGGTACTCCTTTTGATTTTGCTGAGGGGGAATCAGAATTGATGTCTGGGTTTAATGTAGAATTTAGAAGAGGAAGTTTTGCGTTAATTTTCTTAGCTTTCTTTATATGCTCAATTGCTTTTGAAACGTACGTCCAAAAGGCTATCAGGCTATCCCTCCACATATTTCCTATACAGAAATAGTCAATCTGGTTTTCAGTTTGGCAGTCAGGTGACACTCAGGTTGACTTATGTCAGGCTTTCTGAGGGAAAATGGAGCCTTCGATAACAAAGTTGGCGTCATTGTTTTTATACCATGCAAATGGTATTAAGTCTTAATAGCACTATTTAAAAAAATAAATCGGTTTTGTCAAAGTAGAGAAAACTTATAATCCCAATCAGAAAAAATTAATTAATTTATTTTTATTTAATTTATTTGTAAGGTAGTAATGCTTCGCTGAATCAAGATTTAGCATTTAATTTTGACTGAAAATAAAATTTTAAAAATCTACTTGGTTCCAGAAGTATTACAATTTTGGTTTCGAAGCTATTTTGTCTTTTCAGATGATAAACCAAAGTACTGTTCATCTTGACCAACTGGATTAAAACTATAAGAACACTTTATATTGAAAAAAATTTTCATTTCAATAAATTTTTACTCATTCATTGTGCTTTCTTAGTTGACAACTCAATAAGAAAAAATTATTTTTTATATGAAATCAGAAATAAAAAACCACAGGTACTGTTCTAAATACCACAAATTCTCAAAAAACTTGATTTTGTAAAGCATTCTTTTGTGTTAATACTTCGGTTTTTGTTGTTTTTATTTCTTGCATGAGTAATTACATATCCTAAGATGTATTGTTGTATATTATTTTTCATGTAATTCACAAACAACTTTCAATTTAGTTGTTACATTATTGAGCTGAACTTACCAGTTCCGTGCATTCATTATGACTTAAACAACATTTTGTGGTTAAATTATTGTTATTGTTGTATAATTTAGAATTGCTCCAATTCAATAAATGAGCTCTTTTAGTGAACATTTCTATTGAATATGTTTATAATATTTTTTTATATTAATTTATTTTGAACTATTCACTGATATCTTGACTATTCCAATAAACGCCAAACCCGAAACTAAATTAATTTAAGGCACAACAACTAAAACTTGGTTACTTTAAGAAAAAAGAAAGTGTACACTCCACAAACTGACGCAATGACTTTCTCATTGAAGTTTGAAACTGCAACTGACACTAAGTAATCGGCGGCTTCGAATTTTCACTGTACTGCCGTCAAAGAAATATAAACAAATAAAATATATTTGAAAAGTTGTTAAATTGTTGATAAAACAGTACGTCTGCAGTTAACTCGACATTATAGCCGCGAGTTTATATTTGTGAAAAAAAATTAAAAATAATTTTTAGACAATGACTTCTGATAAAAAACTTCAACTAAAAACACACGTCTGTTCGGTTTTAGAATAAATATAAGACTCCTTTATTTTCTATAATGTTTGCTCTTAAATACTAAATTTTACATAGTCTAATAATTAGGTTAAATTAGGTTTTTCTTTTAGGTACAAGGTTAAAGGAAATGTCCCTTAACCTTTTTCTTTGTTACCTTATTTAATTACTTCCTTTTTCTTTAGTTACATTAACTAATCCCTGTTATTACATTTCATATTTTAATGTCTAAAAGAACCTTGGTAACAAAATATTTTAATGCTTTGAAAAACCTTTGTTAGAAATAAATTTAATTTATTAAAAATATAAAATAAAATAGTAAAATATTAAATAAAATGCTAAAATATTTAATACCCAAATAACTGAATATGTTACTTAGGTAATTAGCGCGCAGACACATGTTCAAATTTGAACAACTTCAGAGGTATAAAAATAAATGGAACATTATTCTGTATATTAACACAGGTGGTTTACTAAATTGTCTACGAACTCAAAAAAAATGCCAGTTCAAAAGTACAAAAATTATAGTTAAATTTTTGTTTTTATACTCTATATATAAATAACAATGATGCTATAGAAATAATATTCAATTTCACGTGATATGAATTGGTGATATATAAAACCCACTGGACCTTATTTTGTGGGATTAAGCAAAGTATAGTGTTTATGTGGACAGTGTGCGATAGGACTCGAAAATTGCCTCAAAAGAATCCAATACAAGTAAGATGTCTCATAGAGAATAATAGAATGATGTTGTTTTTTACACCAATTGCTAGCAATCAAAACGCAATCACAATTGTGTATTATTTAAGTTTACAAACGGAACGAATAAATATATAATCCTGTATTATTAGCGCGAGAATTACTATTTGATATGTGAGTATTGGTAGCTATTCATAAACAAAATTATTGGGTTAAGCCACTAGTTGTGACCGATTACAACCTGTAACTACTATTTAAAAAACTAGCCGACTATTTATTATCATCTGCGGTATACGGTAAGGCTGTGCTCTCTCTGTCTCGGCACTATTTTTGTATAAGTAGTGAACGACATCTTACTAAACATCAACGAAGCTTTTTCTAACCTCATTGTCTGAAGTAGTACTGATCAAAAATTAAATGTTTAATACGTTAACATACTTTGAATATGATAAAACTTAAAGTACAACTACTAATATAAATGATGACAGCTTTTGTTGCTTTAGCAACATGGTGACAATAGCTGATCTCTAAAGTGACAAAGACTAGAATTTCGCATGCTTTCGTATGCCCTACTAAACATAATTACATTCTTCTGCTCGCAGAACAACAAAATGACAGAACTTATTCACCACAAACTCCAAATTGTGTCTATATGTGCTTCCACAAGAACTACTTTAAACAAAGATTTCCTTACTATCTTTAATTATCTTTCGAATCTTATGACCCAATGTTCCCCTGGGAACCCAATAGAATTAAGATTAAGATCTTTCGAACCTTAATAAGAAAATTATGAATTGCGATACATGAGTCACATGTTTCGCATGACAAATTCAAATATTGCCTAAATGTCTTTTGAATGAACCATCAAGTTTCATAGACTATCGATCTATCTACAATCTATTCACAAAGCATATCAACAGTTTAGATTGTGGAAAGAAATTCAACACAAATCAGATAGGATTGAAGAAACTTGCACGTATTTGGTGCGATTATACTAACCAATAAAATAATTGATAATAATTGGTAATCTTTAATATTATTTGATACTTGCTGACCTTTCTACAAGAAATTATTATTTTCGGCCACTACTAGCGTTGCTAGGCGTCAGCGATATCGGCGACCGCCGACTGCCTCGTGCCCCCAGAGGCCTCGCAAAAAGTTACCGACTGTGGATTCTAAACACTTAATAAATATTTTAAACGATTTGGTTTGATAATGGCGTTAACCATATTCGAAGTATTCCCGAATGTTTATATAGTAACCAGATTCATGTTCACAAGTCCAGTCAGTATAGCTTTGACGGAAAGAAGCTTCTCAAAGATAAAATTGATTAAGACGTACTAGAAAAGTATGATGATCCCAGAGAGACTATCTCCATTGGAAATTCTATAAATTGAAGCAAAAATAGCAGCTGGCGCAAATTATGACCTAATTTAAAAAAAAATTGAGTGAGGGTAAAGGTAGGAAAATTCATTTATTTTAATTTGTGTTTATTTTAATTTGATTAGCAATATAACTTTCAACAATGTAACTTGAAAGTTTACAACTGGGTTATAAAGGGGCCTCTTAATTCTGATGTCGCCGACGTGCAAAATTGGTCTAGCTCCGCCAATGATTTGTTTGTATGAAAATGTTTTGCGATTTTCTATGTGGATTATTAAGACAATAATACATCGAAACATTTACTTCTGCTTTTTGTGATAAAACTCCTCCTCTACAACTATGAAATACTGGTATAACGATTTTGATTTGATTTTGATGGACATTGTTTATTCACGAACAGAACTGATAAAGGTTACCCAAAATCACATGTGCCAGAAAACGTTAATGCTTTGCAAAAACGATAATGTTGTCTAATTATTGAAACCATAGACATTAGTTCCACAGGTACATAACATATGTACATTTCAGTTTGCGCACAATCCACACTAAAGTTTTTCATAATTGAGGTTAAAGTAAAATTTTATTAACTTATCATTTGAATATGAGTTTCAAGATTCCGTTTTTTTCTATTATCATAATTTTTTGAACTTTATTTTTTTGTTAACAACGCTATTGTTAGGAACACCGAACAGTGATAATGGATTCTTTATCTAAAGTATATTAATACGAACGAAAACATTATATTCAGCTACCATTGTAACTTATATAATATGAGCATACTGTAAGTATATTTTTAATATCTGGATAATGCATTACAATGCTCTTTTGTAGCACTTTAACTGAAATTATAAATATTGTGAGACAATAAACTGCAAAGTTGTTCTCAAATTTGATTGTAACGAAAATTGTTAAATGGGTGCATAATTTTAGCGTTAGAAATGTATAAACTCGTACAGAGACATTCAATGAAAGTTTAAGTTCTTTTCAGTTATTTAACCATTTTTGGTGCTGTTAACTTTAACTTTTACTTACTGAGTCAACATTTTTGATCTCACATAAATTAGTAAGACTTAAGAAATATTCTCATGTTGATTATTGTACAGAAATACTTAAGAATTACAATAACAGTGCTGTCAAATACTTACATGTCAGATTATGACAGGTGGTGAATTAAAGTCTATTCACTTGAGGCTACAACTAAGATCGACTGATCTTATGGTTGTTTCGAGATGAACCAAATCCAACAAAACTTATTCGCCTTCGAAATTCTTGAAAACAAATGGTCGTTGATTTTCAAGAAGAAGTGGATATATGATATCAGTGCTATTAGAATAACGAACAACTGTTGATTTTAGATGAAACATCTGAAATTTGTTTGGCAAAAGTGTTCGGTGAAATAAGAAAACCCATACGCCAAAAACGTGTCAAGGTAGGGACGAATATAAATTCAACAAAAACTACCACGAGGAAATATAAATCAAGCAACTCCAATCTGATTGAAATCAAGTTGGACCACCAGAAAGAAACAAAATTCTTGTGAAAAATATTTAACCAAAAATTAATGTGTGAATCTTAAATTGAATATATAGCAAAAGGACTACTAAAGACTTTATGATACGTATACCGATTTTAGGAAGTATTAGGGCTACACATCAAAATTAAGGCAGTGGGTTCATACAGTTATTGGCTGATTCATGATAACTCATGAAAATACTCTTAGAACTAACATGTCTTTACATTCGTATCCAGAAAAAAACAATCACTATACTTCAAGCAAAAATAAAGGCGATAGGCAGAGATATTTGTTGCAGCCTTGAGCATAATTAATCAGAAAAATTCTAATTGATAGCCAGATTTTTATTCTTTAAATTTTTATCAGATGACATCAACACTGGAAAAGCTAAATATCTTTGGACAAAAAATCAGATATATAACCTATAGGTTTCAGATCGTGATGTTGCTTGCTACTTGTAGGCCCGGACTTAGGAATAGAAAAATTTCATCTTATAACCTACCAGCACAATATATCAGGGTTATTACTTTCAAGAGAGATTTTCAAATTAATATGATTTAAGGATTAAAGGTAAGCAAATAAGAATAATTTCAGTATCTTTATAGAAGTTCTGACAGATCACTACAGATGGAGAACAGAATTCGACTATAAAACACATACGAGAAGTTAGCCCAGCTCTGATTTATAAACGGCAGAAATTGTTAGGAGGATACCTTAAATCGGATGAAGAAATAAGACTCAATAAAGTAGACTTCATTTAAACAACTCATTTATCGAAAATGTTTTTTTAATCCATGGAGGGACACAATAGATCTCTAGATCCAAGCGCTTAATTTCCCAAGTCAAATATAATAATAATAAATGTATATTGAATAAAAAATACAATAATAAAAACAAAAATTATTTTTGTATTAACAAGATGTGCAGTATAATGAATAACAAGTATATTAAATTTATGCAGACGTTTACAACGCAGAATATGAGACATAGAAGATAATCTAAATATATATGGACATTAATAATCAGTATTATGGAATAAATGGATTTATTGACGTCCATATAAATATTGAAAAATTAATCTCTCACGGATTCTGAATTTACTAAATAAAACACTCCACAGAATATTCTTTTACAATGCTAGCAGATCAAATCAACCAATGAATGAAGTTGGTTGAGTTAATATTTGATTCCTTAGACTTATATTTCATATTTTATTTATGTGCCTATATACTATAAAAACATAATTTCAATCGATTTCATATAAAAACAAAG